TCTGAAAACAAGGGAGAATGCACTGGTATTCAGTCTGAGACAAACACAGGAGAATTAGTTCATTCCTATCACACAGATTAGGGAGAAGTTTGAAATGTGATTGATGGTGTGAAATATATAAAATGAAGGTATCTCCTCCCCACGTTAGACAGATAAAGGTGACTGTTGTTGCTGTATGTTTGTTTCCCCAAAGCCTCTGTCTAAATCTTTCTCCCCAATGGAAAAGAAGGCATGATATAAATCCCTGAAGTATGGTTTACAAAACCTGATATACCATCCATTCTCTGAAGCTCGAGGCTGGGCCTTCAATGTAAAAATAAATAAATAAACACATAAATAAATAAATTATATATATATAACGATTATCCTAATTTAGTGCGAGTTAAACTTCAATGCAGTGAACTAGGTCTATCACATCCGGATTCAAATGTAGAGCAAAAGCAGTTACAGCAGCCACACAGAATTCACTACTCCACTAGGTGGCATCTTTGCAACATCCTTCACCTTTCTTAAAAAGTTTTGTTCCCTTAACAACATTTTTAATTAAAAACCCAAACTACAAAGTATGAATAAACCCCAACATTCCCAGAATGTAAACTCCATAGTGATTACTGTATGAGAGGGAGCATAGAAAAAGGATTGTGATATTGGCTCGCCCTTGACCCAGTTCTAGTCTTGAGATTTTTTTTTAGTGTAAAGATCCATGCTGTTAGAATCCCAACTGACATTGGGAAGCCACTATGGTTAGGAAGCTCATGCTAGCAGCGGTAGGTCTTGTGTTGACAGGCACCATGTGAGGAAGCTGTTAACTGAATATATAAAAAAGTACCCGTCTGGCAGGCAGAGCCAACCCTAGGCGGGTGCGGGGCCAGGGGCAAATCAGCTTGTGCAGGGCCTCTTTAACACCGTGCAGTGCTGTGGTAGCCCTGCAAAGGGTGGAGGTCTCCATGCTTCTTCCATGGCATAGGGCTTAGCCGCCAGATCCAGGTGGGGTCCGCGGGAGGGGCCACAGCTGCTACACCAGGCTCTGCAGGGCCCCCCCAAACAGCACGGCCCAGGGCGGTCACCCCAATTCACCATACCCTAGGGATGGCTCTGCTGG